CCATCGCAGCCATGATGGTAGCATCGTGTCCGAATTCGAGATAGAGGGATTGGGCTTCCCCACTAGTGTTGGAGAATCTAGCACACATGTCGTTAGGACTAGTCTTGACATGCGTTAGAACATACCTATTGATTAGTTTATTAACAAAGACACTTCCCATGACACGTCCGGCATTATTGGGCACCAGGTATCCGACACTTGCGACCATAGTGAGATCCAGTTCATACCTAAGTATAATATGTCAGCGCCGCGGCGTCACGATGTTCAAATAGCCTTACTCAAAATCTGCAAGTTCATCCTCATAGAAAACATCGCACCACGGTGACTCATACCCTGCAGCTAGGTCATATGCGCATGCGTACAAAGCCCCGTGCGTGTTATTGTCAGTGAAGGAAACGCCGTAAGGAAGAAGGACATTCAAGCGTTCGGTGATTTTAGGGAGGTACGAGTTGCTCCATTCATTGGCCACCTGAGCAAGTGATATGTTATGAGACAAGAATTAAAACCCGGTTTACTTGCCTTAGATGCGTAGTGCCAGTCAATGCCAGGGCACGAATTCCACGGAGTGATCCAAGACACTGGACCGGGTATATCATTGACTGTAAGTAGGTCCTTGTCCTCAGCTTCGCGACCAAAACGTCCCTGAGCAAAAAAGTACATGGAGTCAATCACTCTTTGTGTAGTGCTGGATAATAGTGTTTCCGTGGTGAAGTTTGGATACTTCAACCCGAATCTGGACGGCACATTAGTACAAACTCGACAAAAGCGATGGAGGGATAAGCGTACTCCACACCATGGGAGAAGAGCTGCTCACGCCCGATGATGGTCAGGTTTTCTGGAACCAAATGTGATTCATATCCCTTCCCAGTCTGAAGGAAACGCAAGTTCTCGGGCAGATCAGCATCCTGTAAAGCATCGTGACCATTCCTGAGCGTTTGGACGAGGGAGTTAATCAGGGCCACCTCTACGCTGCCAGCAGGTCCACGAGAGCCATGTCTGTGCAACTGTTGAACTGCGTCAGATGTTTGCGCTTCGCAAGGAGAAACTCAGTCATACAAGCATTACTCGATCGACACTGCAATCACCAGGTAACTCTGCCTCGACTTTGTGAGAAGCAGGAGCTACACGGTACGGAGTCAAGTTTCCGAGTCTCTTGAGAGGGTCTTCATCTTCATGTTTATGTGAATTGAATGTTAGAGATGCTAGGGTCAGCCAGTTTAGAATACCCTGAATGAACATCGCTGGGGATACTAGTAGGTCTTTAATTCAGTGCACTGGGACTAGGTCTCCTTTATATTGGGCTTACGACCACCATTCCATTATGTTGCCCGGATGCGAGAAGATCCCGAATTCCAGTTCGGCTCGGTTAGCGGCCATTCCCCACACCTGGAGTACTGTCCCGAGATATGGCATGACCTGTTAGCGTTCTCGGCTCTCAGAGACCACAGGTCCCTAGTACCATTCGAAGTATGTTGTAACTTGTACGTGCATTACCTGCGTTCGGTGGAGCTCCGTGGCAGCACCGTACGGAAAGTCAATCATTCATGAAAAAAGCGGACACCACTTTCAGAGCCTGACCAGTGGTCACAACTCCATATATTCAATACCCAATCACCTAGGCACCCTTACACTAGTGTGCTTCAATGTAGCATGCACGATTTCTTCTTTCCAAACGTCGTAGCGATTCGCGAAGTCACTATCTATTGCTCACAGAGGGCTGCATCCTACGGGTACAACAAGGCCACTTCGAGAATCTTGACACCAGCAGGACTCGCCCATACCATGCACCCCGCGTTCAGTATCATGTCCCTTAATTCTGTCGACGTTTTTGAAATGGTTGGATCCAAGGCATATACCTGCCCCAAACTATCTATGGATACACAAGGCTCCCACGGCGCGGCGGCCCGCTACTACATAGGCCTTTCCCCGAGTATCAACGAGCGTCCATTCCACAAAGTAGTCCCAAAGAAACGAGGAATTTCGGGCAAGTCGCTATGGCTTCAGAGACTGTCTTGCGCCGAAATTAAACTGCGGCTTCTGCAGGACAGAAATATTTAGTGCAGTGGCAAGATTGTCTATTGCATTGGTCGGTTCAAACCCCACAAGTCGCATTCCAGGTCTCATCCCGGAACCGAATGCTTGTGCTGTAATGGTTCGCATTCACGAAAGTATCGAGGGAACATGTCCCAAGTGTGGGATCCATGCCTTGACCGCAAATAGTCAAGGGCATGGTAGCATCGTTTAAAATAAGGCGAATCTGGGGTCCATCATATCTGGAAGAAGTATAAGCACTCCAAGCATGGATTCATTAAAACAGTGTGGTACTGACGAGCTTGTGCATGTGAATTTTTCCCAGACCATATTGGCGGCAAATGGCGTGAGTTCAGATGTCCGAAACTTCCGCCCAAGACGTAGCTCGTCGGGGGATAGGGGAGGGTCATCCCTGGAAGATCCACATCGTAAAAGCCCCCACGAATGACTATGATGCTTACTTTGCTAGGCCTAAAGCAGATAGAGCAAGCAAAATTGTGACATCGTGCCCGAATTCAAGATATAATGGGCGGCTGTCTCCTTGAGAATCTGTGAAGCTGTGAAAAATGTGAAATTATTTTATGGTGAAATGTAGAACACGTGCATACCGCTCAATCAGCTTGTTCACAAACACCGTCCCCACGAGAGGGCCCATGTTATCTGGTAACATATAGGCGCACGAAGCGTCCATTAAGATATCCCTTTCGTACCTCGATAATAATGATAATCAAAAAGCAATGCGTGTTTAATCAATCGGTCTTACTCGAAATTAACCAGTTCGTCGGGTCGAAAAACGCCACACCACGGAGAAGCATCAAGGGAAGCCAAATCATAGGCACAAGCAAATAAAGCCCCATGAATATCGTCTTCAGTGAACCCGACACCAGGTAGAAGCATGTTTAGGCGATCAGTAATTACAGGCAGATAATGTTTGCTCCACGTCCGCGTAGCCTTCTGTCCAAAACTGTAGTTGAACTTGGGACAGGCTGGTCCTGGTGCAGGAGTGATCCAAGAAACTGGATCATCTTTGTTGTTGACAGTCACAATGCGAACATCTGGATCCAGTCCGAAAAACCCCAACGCAAACCAACGTGCAGATTCGACCACTCGACTTGAGTCGCTAGATAGGATTATGTCGGTTGTCAAGTGTGGGTATTTCAAAGCGAACCTTGTGGGTGATTATAATTATTGCCTTTACATAAAATTGAACTTGACTCACTCAACTCCATGGTCAAAAAGTTCCTTGCGCCCAAGTATAGTCAAATTATGCGGTGCCAGGCTGAAATTATACCCTGTTCTCAGAAACTCGAGCTCGTGAGGCAGTTCTACATTCTGGATAACATCCGTTGCGTCATGGAGTGTTTGAACCAGCCGCTCTATATATCTCTGCTCGCCAATGGGACCACGAGAGCCATGACGGTGCATCTACCTCGTGATTGGTATATACAAAATCTACTGCAGAATTGCAACTCACAAGCATTACTTGGTCGACGGTACAGTCGATAGGGAGTTCTGAAACGATTTCTGAAGCATGGTGATGACGGGCACGGTGATAGGGGGAAATGCTGCCAAGGTGGTCGAGGACATTGAGAGTGTCGTTGAAGTAATTCTGGACATAATGCGTGGACGAAAGGAGGCTTAGAATCGCCTGTATACGCATCCCGAGATTTGAAGCGCGTGCGCGTGAGGTCTCGTGAGTTTGGTTCCACGTTGCATTGGTATTGGTTACGGCATCAGTCACAGAATGTCACATTGTTCAATTTCGCAACATTTTGAAAACACTGCGAGTATGACAAAAAAATCTTTACGGCCTTGAAAATACGTCATTGATTTCTTGTCAGATGGCATTCATTTAAGCTCGTAAGGAGAATTATAATTTAGTTTTGTTTAAGTAGCTTTAAGATTTGTACGAGACAAGGTGTAGTTGTTTGAGGATGCTACTATATTTGGTAATATATTAAGTTAAGTTTAATCTTACATACAACGTAACACGGACTCTTTTGAACCTTGCATGTCCACGTCAAACATTCATGTCCAACGACATTGAACTTGAAGACTTTTCTAGCAGAACACGTACAGCGTGTTCAAACGATGAGACTAATGTCGATGAATCCCTTTCCAGCCGCCAAGACGGAGCAATATGTCTCTGGGCTTGGAGCTCAGCGGCCTGGTAATGCCAACTTGCTACCTCTTCGAGATTATTGTATTGAAACCTTCACTCCAGCTTTATTGTGTTTGCTACAATCTTGACGCTGTTCCCAAGGTTTCTACTCTTCATGACAGAACCGTCAGGGGGACGAAGTATACTCTCACCCCTGGAATCCTTCCTCGCGGCACTACTTGGCGTTACGATGGGCGCAGTCGCACTCACTCTGGTAGTAACGGTGAGAAGTCTTGCAAGAAACCGCATGCTCCGAATGTTACTGATGCCGGCACTCACAGATTCCAAACACTTCGCCTATCGATTTCCAGCCCGTGCAACATGTGAACTCCCATCCACTCCTCGTGCCCGTCACTTCCGCCTCAGTTGTTTTGGCATTGCTTTCTTACAATAAGACTGGTGTTGGCTCTCTTGGCAACTTCATTTTTCTAGGGTCATTTTTCATTGGGTTATTCGGACTATGGGCGGTACGTGTTTCCAATGATTTTATCATCACTAAAACATGCGAACACGATCTGGGGTCTCCAGCTTCTTTTTGCGGGGCCATCTGTGATCTCGAAGAAGACTGGAGCTGACAAGCGCACCTCCGCATTCATATTCGGGAACAGAAACGCGGCTTCCGTCCGCAAAAAGGAGTGGAGTAAGCAGCAAACAAGGAACAAGTCCATCAAGTGACCTGCACTGCCCAGCACGACCCTTGATTGATATAGAACAGACCAGCACTGTATTAATAACCATCTTCTGCATTAGTAAGGTATATTAGCAGAGAAGTGACGTATTTCATACATCCTGAACTTTATTTGAGAATTCATCGTCCAGCGTTGCCGCCCATACCCATCATTTTAAACATATCCCCAAGGTTTGGCATGCCACCTCCAATGCCAGGCAACCCTCCAAGCCCGCCGAGACCATTGTTCATCTGTCCCATCATCCCTGGGGCGATGATCGACAGATTAGCATATGATAATCAATCAGAAAAAAGGACTGACTTTGCATCTCTTCCATATCAAATTGGTCACCTCCTTGACCCTGCATCATGGCTTTCATCATTTCCTGCATACCACCACCGCTCCTTAATTGTCGTTGCATTTGTTGCAGCATCCCTGGAGGCATTGCGCGCTAGAAGGGAAGGGTTAAACCCCGCTATAATGACAAATCGTCTACTCACTTGCATCGCTTGAATCTGTGCAGGGGTAGGCATGCCGTTGGCTCCACGCCCACGCCCCCCTGCTGCGCTTTGCATCTTTTGCATCGCTTGTAACCTGCGGTTGTTATTTAGCCAATCACTTTTCAACCGAAGATCAGATCCGGCGTACCATCCATTCTTCCCACCCGCTTGCTTGGCCATGTTAGCCATCATCCTGTACTGACAAAGCAATTCTTCGACTTCCCGCACACTCGTGCCGCTCCCTTTTGCCACACGCGTGACTCTCCATGTGAGTCCTACCGGTTTACCGTCCTTCCCCATTTCCATAAATAACGAACCGTCCGAATCAAGCTCGGCCGATGACATGCTGTCAGTAATATAGATCATGCGCTTCATTCGCATTGAACCTTCTTCGTCTGAACCTTGAAGTAATTCCTGGGGAAGGCCCGGTATCATGGAGGCGATCTTGCTTATTGGTCCCCTGGAGCAAAGTTTATGATTACGAAGTGAACCTTAACAAAATAACTTACATATTCATCACGTTTTGTATTTGCTCCCTCCAGTCCCTTATGCTGAGTTTGCCTTCCTCGAGTTTTTTTGCCATCTCCTTCTGTTTATCGGGGTTTTGAGTGGCGAGATCTTGCATATGCTCCATGAGGCCCTGCATGTCGCCCAATCCAAGAAGTTTAGATATGAATGGCTGAGGCGAAAATCGATCTAGATCATGTAGATGTTCCCCAACCCCAAGGAAAATGATCGGGGTCTTTGTCGCGGCGACACTGAGATATGTCAGAAGTCAGGAATCTCAACAGTTATTGAACATGATCATACGCTGAGATGGCACCTCCACCCTTCGCATGGCCGTCCATTTTGGTGACAATGATGGCACCAAAATCAGCGCTCTCCTTAAATGCTCGGCTCTGTGCCTCAGCGGCCTGGCCTAAGCCATGATTTAGTGGCCGTTGCGATTGGAGCAGTGCGGAATTACCTATGCTGGCATCGAGGATCATTACAGTCATGTTGGGCTTGACGGCTTCTCCGATTTGTACCATTTCTTGGAATAGTTCAGATTCTTGCTTGTGACGACCAGATGTGTCGACGATGATCACTTCAAATCTCTCTTTTTTGAATTTCGCAACACCTTGAGCTGCAATGGCGACTGGATCTGTTTCAGTGTATGAACCAAAGTAGGCTACCTTGGCCTTGGTTGCAGACTGTCTGGTCTGATCAAAAGCACCCGCGCGGAAAGTGTCCGCACAGACGATAGATGACTTGAAACCACGTTTCTGATAGTAAACAGCCAGTTTTGTACATGTGGTGGTCTTCCCGTTTCCCTTAAAATTATTGTAAATAGGCGAAAGGATAGCTGTATGTTGGAAGAGGTGCTTACCTGAAGACCCACGGCCATAATAACATTCGGTTGGCCTTTCTTTGGTTTGTATGGCTCGACACCTGGATCGACCAAGTGAACTAGCTCATCAAAGACGGCCTGGGTGACAAGCGGCATCAACACCGGTATAATATTCGACAAGCGTGCGGACCTTCTGTATGAGATTCTTCCGGCTAGAATCTTTTGACTTCTCTGAGCCATCCAGAGCTGCCTTTACCTTTACCTTGACTTTCTGTCGTAGAGACGCAACTAGTTTGACATTCACATCCGATTCTAATAGTGCAGCTGTGATCTCCTTGAGCGTTGCATCTAGTACCTGTGCGGCAGTACGGTAAGTGGATGTATTTGTAAATCTGGAGCAAACGTGCCTTCTCGTCAACAACAGGCGCTCTATTGAGCGATGACAGGGCAGCATTGAGTTTACGGCCGAGGTCAGCGAGAACCATGACAGTAGCAGCTGAGGAACGGTATGATCGCGAAGTTGCCGCCACGTGGGAATCTTAATCATAACATGGCTCACAGCGACTCTGAAGGAGAAACTATCGATGACCTCGAATTCGATACAAGAACCACGGATGGCGATGCTGAAGAAGAGAACGATATCGACGAGGATCTTCTGGGTGCTTTGGACAACGGCGTAGATGAGGCAACAGAAGCGGACGAGGTAGATAGCAATTCACCCTAATTACATTCCCGGTAGCTTTTCACATTTTGTGTGCACACTGCAGGACTCCCCTTCGGACGACTCAGAAGATGACGAAGACGACGAAGACGAGTCAGAGCCTCCTGCTGAGGTCCATCTAGGTGGAACCTCTTCGTCGTCTGTCGCCGTTGTCCGACCAGATGTCAGTAAATCAGCTTCGGTTTCACCCAAACCACCAACCCCTGAACCGCCCAAAGGTACGTAGGACTTCCAAGTTCCGGATCTACCGTATCATATTGCTTATACTTGTGACAAACTACCAGTAATACCTCAAATTCACCAGCGATCACCATCCCCTGCAAGTGTTCGAAAGAAGGCACTAGCGTTTCGCCGATCTCACAGCGAACTACAACCGCGAACTTTCACAGTGGAAGCAATAGGTGCCATACCCCACCCGGTGCCTACACATGCACTTGCTTCGTCCTTCTGCATGACACACCTCCTTACTGGTTCGGATGACGGATTTATTCGTGACTACGATATATTCGCCACCGTAAATGGCAAGACCACACTAACAGCACCGCAGAGACACCACTGCAACGTCGTCGAGGGAAATATGAAAGCCGGTCAGATACGATCTTGGTGGGAAAACCCAGATTTTGTTCCTCAATCGGGGTACCCTCCGATGGGTCATTCTTCTCCATGTCCCGTTTATAGTCTAGCGATGCATTCCGACGCAATTTGGGCTCTAGGAGGCGCTAACGTATGCTTTCTAAACAGCATAATTTTTCCGACAACACTGAATTGGTAACTTCCGCAGCGTGGCCACATCAATCTCTTTACAGTACGACATGATCCGGGCCGTTTGGTTCATGTCCTGGCGAACGGACACCGAGGACCTATATCAGCTCTTTCCATTGATCATGACGAGAAAGGCTTCTTCAGCGCGGGATGGGATGGTGAAGCTACTGTAGGTTATACCCCTCTGATGGTGCAAGTGATTACTTGATTGAGAATATTCAGCAATGGGATTTGAATACCGGGCAAGGTATCCGAAGGTTCACTGCCCACGGCGCGCAGCTTGTTGCTATTGCTGTTCGACCGCTTGGTTCCCCATACTATTCCGACCCTGTATCCTCCGCGGGAAGCTATGGTTCCTACTCGGTATCGCAACCTATCAGGGAGAATGATATTTCCAGGGCCGCCAACGCGGAGCCACCGATCGCTACCACTGACGCTCAATTCAAGCAATCACCAAGCGTTTCTATTGATCCTCTTTCAAGTCACAAAATGCAAGACGCAGATGCTAAATCTGACGCATCTTTTGATCCCCTATTTGATGGTGAACCGGATGCTGATGGTGAATTTGACAACGAGAATCCGCCTTCTGACGAATTCGGGGCGTTACGTTCTCAGGTTCCACAAAGGGACGGCTCGGCTGCGGACAACAAGTCGAACCTGGCCGTTCCTGAGGTGTCACCTCACTCTGGCCAGCAGCAGGTATTACGATCGCCTCAAAGCTCTGTTGCGCCTCCAAAAAATGCTCCACCTTTGCTAAATGCTTCCAATAGTGCAACATTTTCTCCAGATATTTTAATGATTGCTGCAATCGACGGACAAATCATGCTTTGGGACAAAAGAGTCAATTCCCCAGGAACAGGTGTAGGAAGACTTTGGATGAGTGAAAAAACTCCACCATGGTGTGTTTCTGTACGTATTCGCATACTTGCTGTATTGCGTTATTAACGCGGTCTCTAGGCTTGTTGGTCCACGGACGGATCGCATATTTACGCTGGGCGCCGAAATGGAACAGTTGATGTTTGGGATATCCGACTGCTCGGTTACTCTGGGCCGAATTGCACACCAAGACTACTGAAGAGTCTTCGCAATCCACCGAGTTCGGGTGTTGTCTCTTGTGTGGTGCCCTTCCCTGATGGCCGCCACATCGCATGGTGAGTTCACTCGTGACGTTGACAGGGATGAGAAGTTGAGGCCCCGCGTACCAGTGCATCGACAGACAATATCCGTTTGTGGAATGCCGTAGAGGCAGGTGAAGTGGATGGAAGTATGAAATCAAGGGGTGGAGTCCAATTCAAGATAATTCCAGGTCATCACGGGGGCTATGTTTCTCAGATGCGTACGTGCTATCCTATTGAATACATACATATACGTGCCCTGTCAACTGACTGTTCTAAAGTTGTAGATCCGGGTGGTCGTTTCCTTGTGAGTGCTAGCAGTAACCGTGGGTGGCATGGGGATTCCACGCGTACCGTATTTGTGCATGACATCAAGCCAATACGATAAAGTTCATGAGTTTGGCATCACATTCACATCTCCAGATTTATGACAGCTCGGCTCAAATGAAGAAACCTGAGCTAATAGGATTAGGATTGCGCTATTTCAAATCCTTATTCAAGTTCCGCGGTATACCCGCACCTTTTCGCGAGAATCACATCGTTGTCCGCACATGGATATCATCTTCTCGTTATCCTTTTCAACTGAGATATAAGACTTGGGAATACTCCTTTCACAGCACCATGTCACTTCCTTGAATTCAGTCCACTAGCGCTCGCTCATGCGTCTCAACTATCCTATAATCTTCCCTCTCAACCAACTTACCTATGTTGGCGAGGATGACTCCGAATTCTTTTGTCAAATCCATGGCAGGAGATTCAATGCCCTCAGTTCCAGGTATATGCTACCTGCAGACGAGGAAGAAGTCAGGGTTAGATGGTTTCCCTATGCAATCTCCCTTCCTTGTGTGATGAACTTGTTCCTGTTTCCAGCGATCAGAACTTCAGCACAAGACGATACAATTTCTCTTCAATGGAAAGAACTACGTTGGGCCCATTGCTGACATACTAAAACCAAAAGAGGCACAGGAGCGTTGCCGTATTCTTGACTTGGGCACGGGAGGCGGTTTCTGGTGAGTGTTCTGGGAATTTCGTGACGAGTTGGTGACAGGTATCTATAACTACCTTACAGGGCTATCGACATTGCAGACGAATTTCCTTCAGCGGAAGTCATAGGTGTCGACCTCGCTCCCGTTCAACCACGGTAATTTAGACTCCTTATCATATCATCGCGGGATGTCGCTAACATTGTTTTTCCAGTGAAGTGCCTGCCAACTGCACGTAAGTTTTCCCCTCTCAGTAGTACTTTGTCATTAATACGAAACTAGGTTTGAGCTCTGTGATCTGGATCAGTTCTACCTGCCTTACCCCAGCGAGCACTTCGATGTTATCCACGCAAGGTTCATGCACACGGGAGTAAGAAATACCATACCGGTGGTTTGGATTCCCCTACTGACGAATCACAGATAGAAAATTATCCTCGATTTCTCCATGAAATCGCACGGATGCTTCGTCCAGGTGGACTCGTCATACTGATTGAACCCGATACTGAACCAATCGCGGATGAGAAATCCGCATCACATTTCATCCGCTCCGGACAGCCGTCTGGAATGCGTGGCTGGTTCACACTGTGGGAGACCTATAGGAGGTGCCTGCGTGACAAAGGCATCGACGTTAATATTCCTCCGGAGCTCTCCAATCTCGTTGCATCGACTGGGGAGTTCGAAAGGATTGTCTCGCAGGAAGGAAACATCCCAATAGGGTTCTGGCCAAAGGGTATCAAATAACCGCAATGCCAAAGCCTCTTCAAGCTTATCCATTTGTACTTTACAGATCCCGTTGCTCTCAGTATCGGTCAGCTAGCGTGGATGAACTATGACATCATGCTTCCTGCGATGAAGCCTCTTTTCTTATCTTCTGGGATGCGGGATTGGGAAGCAAAGAAATTGATCGAGGAAGCTCATCAGGATCTGTATTACCCGCTTGTTCGAGCTTCCTCGCGCCTCCATATTGTCCACGCAGTCAAGAAGGCAAAACATCCTTGACTCGTTTTCATACTTTTTTATCATATGTTGCTTGCTGTCCGGGCGTTGGAAAAGTACCATAGCTCTTCATGTATCCTACTTTTTCATGTTAATGATTGGCACGATGAATACGTGACGAGCATTCGAAGGCAGGAGAAATCACACATGCAGACAATACAAGCATATCACCTCTGTTCCTTTATTTAAGTACACAAAGGATTGACCACCACCTATACCTATGACATAGAGAAAAAGCGATGACGAGGAGGCAGCAGTCGCAGATGATAAACATGCCACACAGCGTGTAAACGAAACGAAAGGACGAGCTGAGAATCTGCTCCAGAAAACAATATCTTGAAACAACAAAACCGCCGAATGACCCCGCCCCAAGCTACACCTCATGCTTCTCCGGTGATCAAGCTTCTTCCTTTGCGAAATCGTGGAGTACAGCGAGAGCCTCGTTGACCTTGGCAGCCATAGCATCAGTGGACTGAAGGAGGTGGAAGAGTTCTGCGTTGTCCATCTCGAGCAACATGCCAGTAATCTTGCCAGCCAACTCAGGTTGGGAACTACGATAAGCGATATCAATAACAATGGGCAATTAAATCAGCGATAACTTACGTCAGGATATTCATGTAAATGATCTCGCCGAGCATCTGCTTCTGTTCCATAGGAGATGCATTAGCCATGGCAGCCTGGATGGCGTCAGCCTGCGGGTGAGCCGCGCTCGCAGGGGGAGAGGTAGCTGGAACCGGGGCGGCAACAGCATTGCGGGTCTGAGGATTGAGCTTGTACTGCTGCTGGCTGCGAGCACCAGGAACAGGAGCACCACCAGGAGGACGAGATGGAGGCGCACCGCCTTGGGGAGGACCGGGGCGAGGAACAGCACCATTGGCCGGGGGGCCGTTGACGCGCGGCAGGGGTAC